ATTGGCATATGAGATCTAGGAATCATATACACATTGTCTTCATCCTCAGCAGATTTCTCTAGTGAGTCAGACGGCAAGTTAGATAAATTATTGCTAACTTTGTGAAGCAAATGTACACCAATATATTCTGGAGAGATAGTTGTTCCATTGACATCCAGTACGGCACTAATAAATTGATATTATTAATTTTATTATCTTATTACATGAACTTACCTAGTACTCATCGGACAAATATTTGTTACGTTAGATTCACCTTGGGCTGTGGCGTGTGTCAACGGATCAACAGTAAATCCAGCTCGTTCTGCATTCCCATCATTAGCATTTTCTATCCTTTCCAGTGTTGTCCAGATACTTTCGGGAACGTCGTCTTCAGGTATTTTTGCAATATTGACTTCGTTTACTAAAAAGATCAAGTACACGATATTTTCAAAAAACATTACTCAAGAACTTACTAGGAATCATTCGATACATATAGTTGTGGTTTTTTAGCCAAATTAGAGCGTTGCGAATGTTTTGACGTCTAACACCACAGATCCTACGCAGTTGAACGCGATCTGGCGTGTGCGCACCGATAAACACAATTTTGAGTGTGTCAGAAAGATCTTCAGCATCCAATGGTAGACTTGTCACAATATTTGGCATGTTGTGCATGAATGTGATCATATTACCCTTGAGTGCAGCTTGAGCAGTCGAATGATGATGAAAGGGTGATTGTAACTTGATAACACAGCTGCTGTGTCGATAAAGAGAGATACTTTAAAAAGAAAGATTCACATAATACTACGCTTAATTTTTTAATGGTAATTAATGACTTACAGTTTTTCCTCAGCAATTGTCAATTGTTGAAGTTCAAGCGGCACATCGCCAATCCACATCTTGTTCGCTACAGAGAACATTGGAATCTTATCTTTCGATAGTGCGCTGTAACATTGTTGACAGATATTGCCAGTTTTCTCAGTTATGTTGTATCCTTTCTTGTAGAAGACCGCATTCGATAAAGAGAAAATATTTGAATGTTCATCTATCTCTCCTAAAATAGAGTAATATATAGTAATGTAATCAGTCGATCAATATACTAACCTTGCGCTACTTGCTGAGCTTTAGAAGTAATGTTTATGAGATCTGTAGGAGAGGATAATTTGTCCACGTTCAGAATATCTTGTAGAGCATGTACTTTCATTGTGTTAGCAAATGTTCGAATATTACAAACGATACATGTAGATTGTCGTAACACTGACATGGACATATGATTAGAAAAATCTTGCAAACAGTAGTTTTTTAATTGTGTTGGAATTGCCGTTGGCCAGACATATTGGTCGAGCAAAACTTGCTGTTTCTTTTCTAATAATTGCTGTTGACGTTGCAGATTAATAACATCAGTTGATTTTCTTCTGGATCCCTGTCGACCCACTGATCTTATTGTATCTGACTGACGTTGTCCACTCGTTAGAAGCCTACTTCTTTGTGCACTTCTACATAATTTTTTTCTAGCGGATCGTTTCTGTTGGTCAGACAGACGTAGCCTTCGCTGATTTTCACTTTCATTGTCTCGAGCATCACGTTGCGATAGTCGATTGGTGGCAAGACGTATTTGTTGTTGATCTTCGCTTTCGTTTTCTATAGCATTACGTTGCGACAGCCGATTGGCGGCAAGGCGTATTTGTCGTTGATCTTCGCTTTCATTTTCTGTAGCGATATGTTTCGATAGCCGATCGGTGGCAAGACGTATTTGTCGTTGATCTTTACTTTTATTTTCTCGAGCATTACGTTGCGATAGCCGATTGGCGACAAGACGTATTTGTCGTTGATCTTCACTTTCATTTTGTTTAGCATTACGTTTGCGCAGTCTATCAGCAGTAAGACGCTCTTCTCGCTGCTGTTCATTTTCGATACTTCTCTCTTGACGCTTTCGTCGAGCATCGTTGGTTTCCAGATTTGATAATGACTCCTCAATTGATGAAAATGAAGTTCTATGCTTTCTAGCATTAGGAGGCGGTGAAAATTCGGGACTTCTGATAGATGCCACTTTGTTGTTCTTAATCGTTGTCTTTCGTGGGCTCTAAACAGAAATAAAATTCGAATTTTTTCTCTTTTTGGTTCATATACTTCAATAATCTACCTCTGGTGTCTCACAAGGTCGTATGAGTGGCACGAAGTGATTCGGACTCCAGACACCACCACTACCAGGACGACATTTTGTTGTAACTTCATCTTCACTGTTAGTCCAAAAGATAATTAATCGTCCATTATTTGAAACAGATGTGTCCAATGGTGTGTACACTGCATTCATTATCTTCATTTCAACACGATAATCGATATATGGATAAACGCTTTGTACCTCGCACCGTAATGCATTGCCAAGTGCGACAACTTCATAGAGTTCAGAAAAACTATAATTATTGCATGTTCTTCGAATTGCTTCATTAAAAGGACCAACTAAATGGCTAAATTGATTATCATAGTAAGTTCTATTTTTGACCAACTCAATTATTGTTCGCACTAAAATCAAATAGATAAGGTTAATAAATTCAGCGTCGATATGTTTTTATAGTACAAAGTAAATTAACAAACCTCTCAATTCAACAGCAGATGCTCCAGAGTCAGGTACAAGAGACACAACCGAATTGAACAAACAGTTGCCGTCGCCGAGACTGCTGAGAGGAATTAAATGCTGAACATTTTTGCTAGCTTGTTTCAGGTATTGCTGGGCTATAGTATCTATAGTGTGTTTGAGTTCATCGAATTCGTTTGGCCATAGTAGTCGTAGCGGTGATACCAATATCTCATCCTAAAATGATTTTAAATGAATTATGTACAGAACATAAAATTAAACTGTGTACATACTGCACAAATTGTTGCTACAGTAGCAGAAATTTGTTCCTCATAATCTGTTGCTGTTGATGCTATTGTCAAGCGATTCAACAACTGTAGGAATTGATTAGTCCGAGTAGATCTTTCACAGATACATGGTTGATGTTGACATATGTGTGAAGCAGTAACACCAATCTCGTTTCTATTAATACTACTGTCGTTCATTTTAAATTAATCTGAAACAAAATTATTTAAGAAATTATTTATAAGCAGAACAAAACGCAAAAACATGAATAATTAAAAAAAGTCACTTTTCAAAGAAGTTTATAAAAGACAACACATTCAAATTTTATTTAAAAATTAAGTTTTTACATACGTTTATTGACATTTTACATCAAACGAGACGTACATTAGTTTCTAAAAACTGTCAAGCAACACATCGGCACTCAATTATGATCGCGTGTTATATTTTCCAAACATATGCCCGCCTTTTTTGACCATTACTCCCGACAAGTTCCACCAACGAGACTGATTGTCTCTGTCTAAGTCATATTCGCAATCGTCATCAATGTATCTTAAATTTAGATTGAGCTCATGTAAGGCTGTTTGGATCAGTTCATTGTAATAGCAATTTGTGCCTTGTTCCAATGAAAGACTTACAATTACTTTTATAAGAGACGAACAAGATTCTAATAGACTAAGCCATTTATTATTGATGACAAATCCTTCACCATCTACGAGACCATTTAATTTAAGTTTTAACAGAGAGGGCATTGTTGTTGCAAGTTGAATGATGCAGTCAAATGGGACTTCAAGCAGTATGAGAGAAACAGAGTGAAGCTTTGGAAAAATAAATGAACAGGATGAATTTTTGCTGAGATGGAGCAACGTAATATCCAGGAAGCGAATCTTGAACAGACCAGGTAACATGGATGATAAATCATTCCAGCTCATTGGTGAGCATGAATGCAAAATAAA